GGGACTCTGTTTTTGCAGGGAACAGAGGAGCTGGGTGCAGCCAGTTGCTTTGAGGACAGGACATGCTCTTGCTTACACAACGGAGAAAGAGCAGAATCCCACAGTATCTTTTACAACTGCTCTGTGCTGTGTGTGTAGTCATTCAGAGCAGAGCGGGGTGGCTTTTGTGTCAAGTTCATCCTTTCCATGCAGGTGGGGAAGGAGAGAAGGTAGGGAACGGGCTAAACTTGGCTTTTTCAAATGGAAATGACTTGGATATGAGGAGATTATAACTTGTTGTGAGAAGAGTCCCATGTGCTCTACTTTTTGAAGCAAATGAGATGTCACAGATTACACTGCTCCAGGCTGATCCTGGATTTTGCAAATTCTGCCTCTGGGGAGAGAAGTGAGGCTCAATCCAGTCACCTAAATATCACCCATGAAGGGGGAAGTACAGGAGTTGATTGGTGCAGAGGTGGCCTGCCTGCAAGGGAACAATACCATTTTTCCTTTCAATCCCACACCTTTCTAGGGTACAGTCTCTGGAACAAAATATAAATTTATATTCATTGGCAAATGGGAAAAAAAAAAAAACTAGATGTGAGTTTCCTAATTGAGGCAGGAGAAAAAAAAACAGACTCAAAAAGATTATAATTTCTCAATATGCTGAGTAAGCTATTCATATAGCATGCACTTATAAAACATTACTTGCAGATGTTCAATTAGTTTTCTGAAAGCTATGTTTGGTATCATTTCACTTGAGTATGCAGCCTGCATTTGTCTGCATAATAGAACTTAAATATCCAAATTAAATAAGAATTCAATGTAAATATTTAAATCTAATTTTTACTAGCTGACAAGCACACACATAAATATTATAAGGCTACAATGTCAGTCAAAATTACATATAATTCAGTGCACTTGCAAAACAATCAGAGTTTATATGAGCTTGTGAGTGCTTTATGCCATTAAATGGATATGAAAATTAGCTTGCATTACCATGCTGTAGGTAGATTAATACAATCCTCTAGCTAAGACCCCGTGTGGCACCATGGCTGGGCAGTGTCAGCTTTCCTTCTTTCATTTGAAAGAATTAGAAACCAAGCTCTACTGCTGCTCAGATAAATGGTTTTATATGCCTGAATGACATTTGTTTTCCTGCTAGAGATATTTATGTAAAACCACTTTAAAATCAGGCCAAGGGAATAATGGGAGTCAGCTGAAAGCAGCCAAACATGGTGTAGTTTGACAACATGCTTTGTTTTCTTTTTCTTATCTACCCTGGATTTCTTCCTTCTGTCTCACCTCAAAGGCTGCTTCTCTGAGTCCTCCTGAATAGTGGTTGAATTTATGGTTATGCTGAGCTCATGGCCTTTGTGCCACAGCTTGGGCACATGACTCAGTTTCTGCTGCCAATGAAAATATTTGTGAGACAATGAGAATGATTCCTTGTATTATTGCAGTGGACAGCTGTTTTGAATACAAAAGTGATTTCGTGGAGCTTGGGAAGAAGATAAGCAAATGGTTTTTCTGATGCTTGCCACTATTTCATGCTTGTGACAGCTTCAGTTCCCAACCTTTAACCTTAGTGGATTTATTTTATCAGGTTTTTGGAATAAAGAACTGATCAGTAGTTTAGGAATAAAGTTTTAGGAATCAAAAATAGACTTAACATTTCCAGGAACACCTACTTTCAACTTTTAGCTGATGGCTACAACTCCTAACTAAAGCTTTGCTCCAGCTTCTTCCGGTGAAGAGGCCAGTTGATTCCCTGTCCTAGTGTGCTGCCTGGAGGTGATGCTCTCCAGCCAGGTGTTTCCCATGCCCACCTTAGCAGTTGGAAGACCTGGCATTGTCTGAACCTTGGCATATTGAAGTCAGAGGCACAAGCTACAATAGAAAAACAAAGAATTGCTTGATGCTGTCCCTCTGAATGCTTTCCAGGTTTGTGAGGTTGGTGCTGTGCTGGCCAGGTGCCTGACCTTAAGAACAGGGGCACAGGTAATTCTTTGTTTGGCTGTAATTTGTTAATGATGATGAAGGCGCTGGGTGCCTAGGGTGGTTATCCAGCTTGCTTCAGACTTGATGTCACAGGGATTTTGAGTAGGATGTTTCCTTAACAAAAACTGTTAAATGACTATATGATTTAGAGATGTTCAAAACTCATAGTTATGACTTGGTTTTAACCAGATGGATTTAGCAAATGCATTCTAAAGATCAAGGCTAAAGGCCAGACAAACATATTAGGCATTTGTGGACTTAGTGGGCTCAGAGCTCAGAATTAAAGAGTTGAAAAGTCAAGAATTCCCAAATGTAAATTCCATTCTGTGAATTTTGTCTATAATTAAATACAAAGCCATTATTGTATTTCAATATTATTTTGTAATACTGACAAAATTAATATTCAATGAAACACTATCAATTCTGCATAAAACATGTCTGCACAGCCCCACTACTGTTAGGACTTGACAAATACTTTATTTTTATATAACATCACATATAATATTTAATATGCAAAGTATCAGATATTGACTTGGTTCCTGAATCTTAGTGAGCATGTCATAACAGAAAACCTCACAGAAAGTCTTCTTCAGTCACTCTGGTTTTGATCCTCAAGTGCTCTGGGCTTGAAATTGTGTTAGAGTTGAGACATGAAGCAAACTCTTATCAGTCTCACTCTGTAAGGCAAGTAAGGCAAGTGTGTTGACCATTTTTCTTGAGAAATAGCACTAGAGCAAAGAGAATTTATACAGAACAGCTAGGAAAGAAATTAAAATGAGTAACTGTGGCTGATCACCTTAACTGGAAATGCACTCCATAGGATGTATAATACAGACATAAGGAGAATTGCTATTTTTTGAAGGCTGAGGACATAAAATATATTCTGGAGAAGGCAAAAAAAGCACCTGAGTGTGAGTGAGGATGCTCATCACTTCTGCAGAAGAGTTTAGGCTGTGATTGCTGCATTTTAAAATTCCAAAGGGGAGAGTAATAGATCAATTTAAGCACAGTGGATATGTTAAGCAAAATCAATGCATGTGCAAATCAGAGCACTTGCACTGCTCCCAGAATGTCACTTTTCAGAACGTGACAAGCGATGAAGATTTCTGTCTTTATTATGCAACAGGCTTAAGGCTTTTAAAACAATGTTTTGTATTACTGTAACCAGCACTGTGATCAACTGGGCTGCAACCAAGCAGCACAGAGGAGGGAGTTCATTCAGGACCTTTTGCTCTGAAAATATGTGTGTCTGTCTTCTGAATTAAAAAACAGGTTCTGTTATCTACAGCAGTAGCAGCAGGAGGGCATTTATTCACCTTTCAGAATGACGTAGTAAACAATATTGTGTGAAAATCGTATTTCTGTCTCCTTATCTGAACCAATGTGTTTTAGCAGGATAAGAGGTTACTACACGTATATTTTTAAATGATTTGCTGCCTCCTTATGCATCACAGCTTTTCCTTTGGGAGAATCTCACATATTCCATGCAAAACACAAATCCAAGTAGAGGAATGGGAGTTTTGTGGTCTAGAAGATGGGAAATCTGGATTCACTTCTGATCCTTGATTTTCTCTGCATCATTTTTAAAGGCATGGTACATTTTGTGCTCTTCTATGTGTGCAAGAATACTCTATATTTTGCAAGATTTTATCATGTGTACTTTTTACAGGGCTTTGTTTGCCTTTCTTTCTTCTCCTCTCTTCCTCACAAATCTTTTTCCTTCTGGTTCTTGCACCATTTTAAGCTGCACATTGTTCAGCTTCTCTGTGGGCTAGTAAATTTCATTATTGTAAGGAATGAAAATATATTTAGGAGTGACTGAAGCAAAAGTATTAGGACTTCATGCAGAAATTATATTTCATAGACTGCAGTGAAATCTTAAAGATGATCGTGTTGCTTCTACATGAATTACAGACAAGTTTTCAAGATAAACTATAATATTCATAACCCTCAGAACCCATCACTCTAATGAAAATGAGCACTTTAAATGTGAGAGAAAGAATATTAAAATTAAAGGCAGTGGTAAACTGGATTGACATTACCCTTGCTAGAGAAAGACAAGCAGTTTTCCAAAGGAAACAGAATTTTTCAATCACAGATGTGGACCAAGTTTTTAAATTGAAACAGAGAACAGAATTGTATTTAATATCTTAGCAAAAACTTGACTTGGGATAAATTAATGTTCAACCATTAGAGATCAGAAACAGGATGGGAACCTCAGAGATATATATATATATTTATAATTTCTCTTTAGGAGAATTATACAACTGTCAAAAATCAATTGCTTATATGCTTCTTTTTCCCTCAGTGTAATATGGATCTTAAGCATCTGGTAGAATGGAAATAGATCACATCCAGCTGATATTCACACTTGCAGCTTAGTTTTCCTCTTTAAACTGTCCCTGCAAATGCCAGCAAAGATCTGCCATGCTTGAACCTGTCTATCCTGGATCATCATTGCTGCATAAGGTGTTGTCATTAAAACCAATTCAGTTTAAACATAAATCCTATTCAAATCTGGCCTATTCAATTCTCTTCAACTTAACGGTGGTAAAGTTCTTGTCTGTTTGATCTATACAATTGTGCAACTAGAAACAAGGAAAATGGAAATTAGGCTTGTGTCTCATTTGTGACATACTTCAATATTCTTAAATACTTTAAAAATATGAAATTGAATAGTTAATCCATTATTTAAAACATGGTCTAACGAGTCTGAAGATTACAGTAAACAATATCATAGCAGGAAATGGAAGACAATGTGAAAAGAATTACACAAAGTAATAATGGAACCCCTTGATTTAATTTGTTTTCACTCAAGGGCGTTCTCGCTTGAACCTTGCAAATCTGGTAGCAAAAGTATCCTTTGCTTCTTCAGAGTGTAGAATTCTAAAGTAACAAGTTTGTGAGAAGAAAAGCCCTTGGATATAACATAGAGCTGCTCAGCTTGTGGGCATTGTAATCCAAGGGTCTTTATTTACCTTTGAAAAGTGTTCTTTTTTAAAAACGACAGAAAAAAGTGAATAATTTTAATCACTTTATTTCTTGTTCAAAATACATATGAAACAATTAGAATAAAATTATTTCAAATGAACTCTTTGATTTTTCTTGTCTTTTTTTAAATATAAAATTATCACAAACTGTACACTTCATAACATTTTTTGAGGTTTCATTGTTACATATTTTTTTCAGAACTGACAAATAGATTCACACTTTATAGAGAATACATTGTAAAAATACTGAAATGTGCTACAGCTCCCAAAGGCTAGTGCAAAAAACCCCATTTACTATCAGTAGTACAATTTATGTTGTCAAGTTTCACAAATGGCCATTTAGCGCATACAAAAAGCCAGTAACACAAGTTCAAAAAGTTTTGTTTTCTTGTCTCTATAATGCAGAAGCCAAGGATATTGACTTGAACAATGTCTAGGTATCAAATCACAGACTTCATTTAAAAAGTCACATCATGAACACTGAATAAAGGGTACTAAAACAGTCAGGTATTTAATAGTAGATCTTGGTCAGCCAACACCACATAGCAAGAAGAGACAAAATGTTAGAAGAACTCTGCAGATCTTTGTAAGCTACATAGACTTGGCAACATTTCTGCTCTAATCATAAAGATTGTTTTAAAGGTAGGGAGTTCTGTTAGAGTTTGGGCCAGTTAGGGCCTAATCCAGAGCCCTCACTGTCACAGCAAATCCTGTCAGATGTTGTGTTGGGTGCTTTCATTTAAGATATCAAGATATTAAATGTTTAAATACTAAGTGGATTTTTTTTTTTTCTTTTTTTTAGCTGTCAGTATTTCCTGTGGCCAGGAACTCCATTTTAACTTCCTACCTTTTGAAGCATACACTCTGGGGAATGCCTTCCCCACAAACAAGTATATACCAGGAAAACCTGATGTTCTGTGCTGAAGCAAAGATGTGGCTGAGTTCTGTTCTCCTCTCCCCGCTTCAGTTCTCACAAGGAGCACACTGAAGCCGGTCAGCTCAAATGCAGCATGGACTACAAGCTCATGGAAAGGAAGGAGAAGGTTTTTGGGACTCCCCTTGTGATTGGTGTCTGGAGGAGCACCTGGATGGTTCAGAGGAGCTGGTGCTGCACTCCTGCTGCCCGAGGTGGTGGGTGCTGGGCAGAGCAGGGCAAGGAGGAGCTGCCATCCAGCTCTGCCCACTCCATCCCAGCCAGCAGGGCTGTACTGCCATGGAGGGGGCTGAGGTTAACAGGACAGAGCTAACACAATATTTCACATGGCTTTCTGAACAGGCACCCTCGTGATCTCCCCCAGAAAGTGGAGAAAGCACAAGTTAGAAGTGCCTCTCCAAATCAGGATGCCAGCTTGTCAACTTCTAGGATATAAAAAACCCCATATCCCATCCTTAGACATGTGCATTTAAGTCCAACATATCCTACAGAAACCTAAATAGAGAAGCATAGAAAGAATTTAGACTTACACTTGGAAGAAAAAGAAACAAGAAACAATGCTAAATATATATCTAGGCTTTTTCCTTCTATTGAGAAATAGTTTTCAATATATTTAACAAAATTAAACTTTGTTCAATATTTTTTCCATAGAAATATAGACTGAAAAGAAGTGCTTTATATCTGATGTGCAACAGGACTATCTAAAAATTCCATATCAAAGGTTTAGTCTATACACACCCTCTGAGCTTCAAAACAAAATGGCATTTTGTGGAAACTTGCAGGCCACTATTAGAAAGGAAAAGTATGTAAAAACACATCACCTCCATGTCTGACTACATACACCAGACATTTCTATTTACCAAGTCAGGCAGCTGAGGCTCATCTTTCCTACCAGTATTAGTAAAATCAGCATTTGCAATAATAGCTCATACCCCAGAGACGTGCTGAAGACTTCTAATATAGTCTGAGCTGTCAGAAAGTGACAAAAATCCATGGTGGATGTAAGAGAAATCATTCTGCTTTCCTTGAGACTGGGATCATTTCATAAGAAGCTATGACACATCCTCATGTGTAACTTGATGTGGAGTGCACTGAAATAAGCAGCAGTGGTCCTGCTGAATTTCAGTGTTGGGCTGGCCAAGTACAGAGTGCTTTCAGAGGAAATTACATATTAAAAAGACCTACAGAGTGACTTTGTTCTATTTGGTCTATTTTCATGATATTAAGAAAATAATATCATTTTAATTAATACAAGAACTATTGTGTATAAATTAGCAAGTGATTAGCTCAATGAAAGTTCCTTTTGAAAGCACACTAGAATATTTGTATATTTGGAATAGGGTGATAAATAGATTTTTTAGCAATGCAAAATATAAAAATGAAATCTTAATGTGTTAATACACATTGAGATGAAAGAGACTGAACTGAATAACTTTTATTGTGCTATATTATTCCAATAACTATTAAAACTACATTAGATACATTTACTGTTTTGTGGTTTTTTTGAGATAACCCAGAAAAGGAGGTGGAATATTCTAATTCTAGTCAGAAAAAGTCGCATATAAAGGAAAATGCCTTTTGGACAGCATCTTTATATTTTGCTGCCACAGATATTTTTTGCTGAAAGGCTTTTTTACTTTTTTTTTTTTTGCATCAGTATTATTTCAGTGCATGAGTAAATTGGTACTTTAGTGCCATTTTTTGCCCTGCTAGAGATTTAATTATAATGTTCTGTCTTGAGAAAAAGTCAATTTTTAACAACAGTACATGAGAAAAAAGGAAAGAAAAATTTAAAAGCCATATTGGTATAATCTGAATGAAATCTCTTTTCTCAGCACAGATTACTCATCATCAAGCCCTCTTTAGGTAGGACTGCTCTTCAACTTCATAGACTGCCCTGTGCCTGGAGGGAAGGCAGAATAAGAGCCAGGATTTGAGGGGTTAATCCTCAGAGCTTCTCTGAAACCTGGCTGTGACCTACTATTGTTTGTCTGCTACTGGCAAGTAGCTAAAGTGCAATAGTGCCAGGCTCCCTTTCAGAGGAATACAGAAAACGTCCAGCTGTGCAGATTTTGGCTGCTGGCTAAGATAAAGCTAATCTCATTAGTGATTCTGATTCCATAGCCCAAAGTTACCTGTGTGGACTAAGAACTGAAAAGGTTGTAGGTTTAAATAAATTAATCAGATGTTGTGCTGTAGGATAATTAAGATCATTAAACACTTATAATACATGAGGCTTGAAAGGAATAGATGTAAGAGTGTGACGTGCTCTTTGGAGAGTCCACAAAATCTCCTTTATCATTTTCCGTGGCAGCCAAGTCTCCATTTATAAGAAGAAGAAAGACATAGCCATCCACACATACCCATTTGACAAAAATAATTACAGCTGGCAATTCTCTGTCTTGTTCAGCTATGCAGTCATTTCCTATTATTACACAATTAAACCTCAGAAAGCCATAGTGAGGGGTGTAATGGTCCTCTATTGATCACTCTGATTTTTAATAAGAGGCAGCCACTCCTAGGGTGAAACATTCACAGTACACCCACTACTATGTGAAAATCTGGGACAAAGGAATAAGAATTTATTATTCAGCTGAACCTCCAAGAACAGGAGGAGACAGAATTTGGCTGAAACCTCAATTCCAGGACCCTATTCATACACAAAGACCTGTGGGATATTAAGGGAGAAATACACCATAATTATGACTTCGTATTTTTGAGATATCAGAGAATTAGCACCTGCAGCAGCCCAATGACTTGTCCACCATTTTGTGGTATTAGTTGAGGCTTGACTTGAGAACAAAACCAGTACCTTTTGTACCACAGCAGCATTTCCAGAGCTGTTTCCTATTGTTTATTCAAGCACTCTTTGTCAGGAGTGAGAGGAATAGTGGATTTGTCTTTACAAACAAGCTGTGGGTCTGCTGGTGGATAAAACTAGCACTGAGAGATAAAAGAAAAAATGGGAAGGATTCCACTGATTGATGAATGGAAAAAGATATTTGCTTTTACAAATAAGCTTTAAGTTTGCTGATAAATGAAAGTAGACATTGAAAGATGAAAGAAACAATGGGGAAAAATGCTAAATTCCATAAGAATTAAGAATTGAAAGGGAGGGTTATACATCGGAGGGAAATCTTTTGTATTGGGCGTATTGGGAAGCCTGTACCTCTCAAGTACCTCAGCCAATGGGGAAAGAGAGAAGGGAAATGTGGCTGGGAAATTAGGATAAAAGAGGAGGCTGTGTCCTCCAAAAATTTGAGAGACCCCAGGGGAATGCCCCATGGCTTCTCCCTTTATTTGAATGCAGTAAAAGGACTCCACTGTCTCCTTCTTGGACATAAACCTCTGATGTTTGTGGATTAATTTTCCTGACAGGAGTTTTGATAGTGTGAAGAGGTGACAATATATAAAAGTTTTTTTTTCACCTATTGGAGATCTTCCAACCTATGTCAGGTGCAAATAAATAGGAGGCCATTTCAGCATCCAGGAGGCCATCCAGCATCCATCCACATGTCTGAGCACATGTGGGAAATGTCTTTTTTTTGCCTCATTGTGCCATGAGCTCTTTGCACTGTGAATCATCTGAGAGCAGGATCTGCTGGGCAGAGGATTGTTTTTATTTGAAGAACAGACTCAGGTTCTGAAATTGGCTCCCGTTACCCTCGTGAGCTGGCAAATGGCTGTACAAGATATGAGGTGGGGGAATCATGTCAAAAATCCTTTTCTATTTGGAAGTATTTGTTACACATACATTTTTCTCTATTGAAAAGGCTATTCAACCCCTTTTTATACTTTCCACTTTTCCTTTTAACAGATTTTTCGCTTTTTTGGTGGTGGTGGTTTGTTTATTTTTTTGCTTTTTTTTTTAATTTTCCAGAGGGCTCTTTTCATACTCTATAGGCTTTTCCCCTCCTCTCTTGTCTCCTGTTATAGCTCAGATGTAATAAGAGATTTTAAATATCTTCTTGTTCAGACCTCTTCACTTCTGATCCTATTATCAGTCTCAACTCATAGCATATTGAAAAAAAGCAACTCGACCCTTTTTCTCTCTCCTCTTGCAGACTACTTTTATGGAAATGTATCTGCCTCACAAAAATATCCAACAGCCTACAACTTCTCCTGAAATTAACCTAGAATGTGTCCCAAAAAACTCAGATTCCTTTTTGTCAGTGCTAATCTTAAGTGCCTAAAATTCCTATCTGTGATCTTGATGAATATTTGTTGGAACATTTCTGATATTTAAAATCCCACAGGGCCAGGCAACTAGGTATCCTATACCTGCAGTAAAATATTGCTTTGCAATCAGTATCATAGTCTTTCCTTTTTAAACTAAGAGGTCCCAAGATAAAAAAAATCTATACCATTATTCAACACAGGAAAGAAATTTTTAGCATGTTCTAGACCTTTATTTATTATACAGAAAGTTTTTATTCCCCATTCTTGTTTAAATTTTATTTTATTTTACTCATGGGTAGATACATGGATGGATTTACTTTACTTCAGGGTCTTGAATTTTTAAGGGATGAAAACGTCCCAAACTGTTTAAAAGCAATCTGTCAGAAACACTTATATACTTGTATTTTGAAGGAGAGGAAAATTGTATAAGAGGTAGGTTACTGCCATGAAAACATGTTTCTGGCACCCTTTTCTAACCAATGACTTTGTGAACCCTGAAACTGTGGTGAAATAACTGTGCCCTCATCCTTTCTTTGGTCTGTCTTCAGTTCTTTTTTTGTGTCAGGCTTCCTGACTTCACCTTTCCAGGGGAGATGCAGCATTTCACAATTCTTTAATTTATGCTGGGCTTTGGGACACTGTGTCTGTGCCAAACCAGGCAGTCTGAATGGATGCACAACTTTTCTTTTAGAGAGTCTGTGAATACTCCATTAAAAATAGAATGGTATTTAAATATTTAATCTTAAATATGCAAACTTAAATATTTCAAATAAATGGAATTGAAAATAACAGCCTATATGCATATTTGTCCTGTCCCAAGCTTTCTCACCCATTCATGGGAGAGCAACCACACCTATTTTCTCTGTGAACTACAGTACCAGCTTGCATCCCCAGCCTGCTCAGACATAAATCTTTTATGCTCTGAATCGGATCTTTTGATCTTTCCTGTGCCTTTTCCCCTATGCCTGCTTGGGATTTCTCAATTTTAGATGAGATGCATTTTTCAGACTGGCTACAGCATCAGCAGACTCTCCCAGGCCACCAAGGTGGACATTAACATTTCATACAACTCATTTGCTCCTGAGAGACACTCCCCTGTCAAACATTTTTTCCCCTAAATTTATTGAACTCACCTAGTTCAGGACCAATAGTCAACTCAACATATTGTATTCATAAATTATTACAGAGCAGCTCCACTTTCATCACAGCAGCTCTGTGACTTCCTGCAGGTCCAGCTTCCAGAACATACTGCCTTGATTTATTTTTCAGGCAGTCATCGTTCCTTTTCCACAGGAGGGAGCTTTGGTGTTCTGGCAACCTATATAACCTGTATTTATATGTATTAGTTATATTTTGACAGTGTTGGTACTGAGGATCTTCAATAGCATCAGCATGTCTCAGCAACACAGGCTGAGCTACAGAGTGCTGTACGAAATGTTCTCCCTTGATCAGCAAGGCACAAACACTTGTCTTGAAAACCAGCAAAGTGACTAGTCCCCATGATGGCACAGTACCAAACTGGTTTTTCCTGTTCTGCAAATTTGCTTTGTACCCTTCTAGGGGACTGAGCCCCATGGAACACAAGAATCACAGTCTACACTTGGGTGGAAAAGAATTCACGTGTCAATCGTAGAGGCATTCTGCTCTCTGTGCCTTTAAAGAGGTTTCCCAGCAACAGCAACATTGTAGAGATGCTATCAGATAAAACATCAAATTACAGCCCTGAGCACCTGCTATCACCAAGCATCCCTTAGCACTCAGCACAAGACTGAAGGTGTTAGTTCCATTTTCCTGACCAGATTGCCCTGTGAAATTCAAATCCCACCTGCAGCTTCACTTTCTCTTAGATTTCTAGCTCCTGGTTTCCTTCATGCTGTTAAAAAAACTGCCGTTTTCAAGGGTTAAGGAAAAGTGCCTTGTGCAGGAGATATTTATTCATTTAGATGAGTAAACTAAAGACACTTTTTTAGAAGTAAATGTAGTTTTTGCCTTGGAAAAGGCAAATAGCTGTGATCAGCACCTCAATTAACTCCTATGCCTAATGCTGATTCTTCTTCAGGAATGTGCTTCTTTTGTCCCATTTTACAGCAGAGAAAGAAAGGACAAGTGGTAAAACTGTTGGAATCTGTTACAGAGGGAAGGTTTCCATTTCAGGGCATTTGCATGGAACAGCTTTGTGTCTACTGCCACATTTTGCTTCATCTTTCCTAGCTCTGGGTCTGCTCTGTGCCATAATTTAACTGTTTTCACAGAGCTCAGTTTAGACTGGCAAGACTCAGAAGCTAAATGAAAGTGAATCTTGAGTTAAACTAAATTTGTGCTATGGTGTGAATGAGAGAGAAAATGTCCCATCAAAACCTGCATTAATATTTCTCATATATTTGGTATATTTTACCCATATTTTGGATTGTCCAACACATATTACATGAGCTTTGTCCAAAAGTCACCTCACTGTCTGATTTACATATACACCATATCTTAACACCTACCTAATTTTCAAGCATGTTCATTTGTAGAAATGTCATATGAACTTTTCAGGTCAAGGAACTGTCACTCAGTGCACATTTGTCAGGTGTTTATAATGAACTGCAATGTATTTCTGATTAGGTGTGGGTGTTCTGTTGTAACAGTGGTGCTAAATAATAGTGATTGTACATCTAGCAAGTGCAAATACTTGTATGTGCAAACCTAGGTTTTTTGCATGCTCAAATAAGGTGATTTTCAAATTTGGCAGGCACATTTATGGATTTCTGAACAATGTTATATTTTCAGCAGAAGAACTCTATTACTGAGTTCTGAAATACCATTCTTTTGAATGTTTGCTCACCCAAAAAATACAGACAAATGATTTCAGATGTATAAAGCCTGTAAAATTAATGGAGTATAATAAAAGCTAGTACATATAAAAGTTTATAAAAAAGAGATAGCAAAATAATCTTTTAACTAGACTATCATGTATATGTTGTACATCATTATGTTAAAAAATTTTAAAAGGATTGCATTGAATCCAATTAAAAAGCTGAGAAAGAGGAGAAAAGGATAGATCAAATGAATCTTTTAACTAAACTTTTTCTTAATATTGCTCCAAAAATGCATCCACAGAAAGAAACTAGGTAATTGCTTTTTCCCTTGAAAAAAATCAACCCAATGAAAACATTTATTGGTAGCTTAATATATTCTTCAAAAATATTGGAAGTGGTGGTGATTCTTTAAGAAAAATATACAATTTTGTTACTTAAAAATAAGTAGTCCAAAGAATTGCATTTATTGAAGAAGAAATTTTGCAGGGGAAGTTGCTGGCCACTTTATCTCTGACCAATATTCATATTCCTAAGTCCAGCATAGACAAAAGATGGTGAGGAAAGAGCTGGTTGTTTTCTGGGAGGGTGAGGGGAAGGGCCATGTCACCAGAACTGTAAAATGCTGGGATCCAAAGCTGAGGTCATGGAGTGCAGTACATGACTTAAATCTTTGTGAGCTTGTGCTCACCTGTGCAGTGTGAAACCCTGCAAATACAATTCTTATTAAGTACTGGTGCATTTTCCAGTAAACTGCTTCAAGCAAAATAGCTCAGGCCTTTAGGAAAAGAAGATTTTCTAACTGTTGTAAAAGTACTACAAGATATCTTAAACCAGCCTTTTGCCACATTTGTTTTTTCCTAAATTAGGGTAATGCATGAGATATAGAAGAAACGTGGATAAGCAGAGAAAAAAATCTGGATGGGAGTAGAGAACTTGCAGCTTCTCCAAATTTCCAAATTAAAATATTTAAAATTCCTTAATAATGATATACATCAAGCAACATATTCCTTGACTTACACTGTGCTAAGCTCTTGGTGCTTCAGTGATGTCACAGGGAATAACTTGTGAAAAGGCTCTTAAACCAATGGATGAGTTAATCTAAGTACCTATCCTGTCTTTTGAGATGGCTAAGGAAACAATGGGGAAAAATATCTTTTTCACTAATTCTATTAATCACTGCTAAGGGAATAAAGATAATTATTTAAGGGATCATTTTTGAAGCTAGATGTCCAGATGATTTTGCAGCCTGATTTCTCCTAGATGCAGAGCACCCATCAATCAAGTTTAGACACAGAAGTCATTCACTGTTGTTATTAACAATACCAAAATTAACACAACAAGGGGGCACAAACTGAGCCTTTGGCATTTGACAACAATGAAGATTTAAGAAAATAAATCTTGAAATACCTTACTACCTATGAGGAAACACACAGGATAGTCAGAGAACAGTAAGATAGGTAAAAACACGTTGCTCATTGCTGAACACTTATGCTACATTTGATCGTGAATTTGTTCGCTTTTTGGATATTAGGTGCAAAAAAGTGCAAAGAATATTTAATTAACCGTTACAGTACCACATTACAAAAAGTATTTTTGAGGCCACAAAGGCCACTGTTGATATAATTTATATTAAGATAAATGTATACATAAAATAGTTTTTCAGTCTCCATATATATATATATGTTTCTGCATCAGCCTTGCAGAAATCATGTTGAAAATTATCTAGGCCACAGAATTTTGTTAGGATAACAAAGATGGGAGGGAAAAAACCTCAGAGAGGAGAGTTTGTTCTCCTATTAAAACAAATTACTCATCGAGAGCAAAAGGAGGAATGAAATTCTGCAAGGCTGCTCTGTATTTATGGTGATGAAAATACAATCTCAAGCAGGGAGGATCAGTGTTCAGCACTACCCATCCTCTCTGGGAGAAACCATTTCTACTTAGAGGCCATGAATAACAACCTGAAACAGGCATTCAAAAACTTGAGCTAGAGCCTTTTCTTTTTATCCCTTTTTTCTTTCTTTTATTTTCTTTTTCCCCCCTTATTTCTAATGACTATCTGAGAGATTGATTTTTATATTTATTTTCTTGCTTGCTGTGTTCATAGGCACAGGAGGCAAGGTATAAAAGCTGCTTCCTTTTTTGTCTTAGGTACACCTGCAATGTTAAGACCAGCCCTGCTAGCTTTTCTGGAGCAGTTTAAGACACTTCAAGGTATTTTTGACTGTCTTAGAGATTAGTCAGTGGCATGGAGGGACTGGATCTTCAGGAACATGTCAGCCAGGCTAAACCAACTCAAAATGGTTCTTCAGAAGTTTGCCAAAACAACCTTTTCATTTAATACAAAATTAATTATCAAAATTCCTTTCATTGTCATAAATCAATCATCATTTGTAGATTTTCTCCTGCATGACATTTCTGTAAAGTTGTTGTTTTGGAAAACAGTCTCCTCTGTTTTCTTTACATATATATTGCAAAGATACAAAAGGTGCTACCACCCAACTTTTTCTAATTACAGTCCAGCTTTCAAAACCTCAGTCCCAGCCATGCTGTCTGTGCTACACTCTTCACAGAAAAAAAAAAGAAAAGAAAAAAGGAAAAAAAGAAAGTAACTATCTGATTTATCTGATTGAGGTAAACTGCAATATTTGGAGATAAATCCACAAAATAATATGTAGTTGTCCTCTAGTTTTTAAAGTATCTGACTACAGCCAATAGATTTTTTCATTTGCTTTCACTGTGTAGTCTAATAAATTAGTTTACTTGCTTGTAAAATAGTCACATTTTGATTTCTCTGTCCATAGACTGACAGAAAACACATCTCAAATTCATATTTAGCATATGTGTCTAGAGGCATCCAGCCAGCAACCAGAAACTAAATTCCATGTGTGCTGTGCACTCAGTCAAAATAATTTCAAAGAAATCTGTCTGTCACATTAAATCAAGAATCACAAAAATTTTCTGGGTAACTGCAATATTTGGTCAATTTTGTGAAGAGATAAATCACTTTAAATCAATTCCTTTACTTCTGAGCATTCTCTCCTCTGCAGTTTGATTTGTGTAGAGATGTGGCTGTCATCATGAGTGCTGGAAGGTTATAACTGCATAGATCCAATTCTCATACCTGTTTCAGAAGGGCTGGACCTAAAGCACCCTGAAGTCAGTAGATCTGCCTCATTGGTTCCAGAGGGCTTTAAATCAGCCCTTCCTCCCTGCCCAAGGAATGAACTGATTTTCCAGATACTCAAAACATGACAACAGTTGGTTTTTTTCATGTAACATTCAGTTTGAAGTGCTATCTTGCAAAATCACAGAAGATTTAGTGCAATTTAGAAGGAATTTACTACACTAGCTGTATATGACTATTTCTTCTTCCTCCAAAGAATTAGGCGTTAAAAGGTGCAGTAGTTTTGAATTACTTAAGGGAATTTTTTTTCTGGTCCCTTGCCTGTGAAAAGATACAGGCCCCATCAAACCACTGCTTGGATATGACACTGGATATATGCCAGAGATAAAACAGATTAATGAATTTGCACAAGGAAGGGTTATATTTGACTCGAGTCAACTTTGTTCACACTTTAACAAATTATTATAAACTTTCATATAAGACTTAGAATAGGAAAGATGTATTTTGATAAAAAAATATGGGTACAGTTCATCTGTGGAAGCCAAACCTTCTGTTGATGTAGATGTGAGCTACAGGGGAGTTTTAGACACTGAGCATGATGGATCCATTCGGACTCCCTAGGGCGTAAGCGGTGGTTTGGGCGAGGAACAGGATCCCTGGCTATCAAAACTGGTTGCTCGGCCAGGTAGCTGCAAGAAAAGTTATTTTTACAAATGTCATCATGTCTGGCTGTGCATCATGCTCATTTCAGAGGATGAGAGACTCTCTCAAAAAAGAATCTAGATCACATCCAGACCCTTTCTAGCCTCTGGATCAAAGTCTCCAGCAGAAGCAATAATGGAAAGAAATTTTCTGAAGTGACCTTCTAAAAATGCCTCTGACTCATTTCACAGGAATGGGTTTATTTCACCAAAAGGGGTTGTACCCCTGTCTCCTAATTTACATAAACCAGACAGAGCCATGAGTCTCTAAAAGACACTTCTCTGCTCCCTTGACTCAGTTTCCTTGCCCCCACAAGCTTCTTGGTGTTTTACTGAAGCCTTGATATTTTGCTTTTGCCATCTCTAACAGGACATGTTGCGCAGCCATGTGCTCCAGAGTGGGGGAATCACATGGCCTCAGGCAGCAACTCATTTTTCTACAGATTGCTTTTGTGATGGGCTAAACAGTGCCCCGCTGCTTCCTAAGGCTTCAGTATGTATCTTTCTGAGTCCAGAGTTGTGAGGATTTTGTGTACAGAACACCAACAATGTGTGGCCACATCAGATCACAGAGGGAGTCCAAGCCCAGGGACTTGTAAATATAATCATCCCTACCTTTGAAAAAGCTCCAGTAAGCAGCTGTTGAATAACTCTGGAGGGAGCTGCTAGTATGTTGCCACAATTTAGCCTAATTTGCAGGCCAGTTACAGATTAATGTTTTAGCAACAGCAGCTTATGTTAAAGATTTTTGAATAAGAAATTATTGCTTTTGAAATTTTCGCAAATGATCTCTTCTAAGTAGCTGTAAGCTCTTTATCAAAATCTCTGGAATTTTAAGCATCTAAATGTAACCCTACAATGCCATCAGAGCATCATGGAAACTGTTGAAATGGCCCTTTTAAATTATAGATAAATACATGCAATTAGATTTAGGCTGTGCTAATGATCTTCTATCTGATCTATAGGTGCTGCACTGATTTTCATGATTCTCAGAAGCCCATAAATGTGAGGGGCAAAATCCTTCAATATCAAGGAGAAACTTTTGCTACTTCTTACCTCTACTAGTGGGTGCCAGTGAGTTATTGGTTTACGTGGGTAAGCCAGCATTTCATTCCAATGATCTCTTCCAAGGCCTTCGGCGTCAATTCCTGTCCGGCATACTCCAATGACCTCATTGTGCCCTACTCTGAGAATTGTAGAGTGAGAAGGAATTTATTTTTAATAAAAAATAGTTTTAATAACATCTGATATACAATTCTGTTTACTGGCTTAGTGTGGCACAGAATGCATGGCCAAAGTTTTCACATAATTTATTACAGATATTAGTTTTAATGATAGCATAGTAAAATTAAATTCTGTAATGGTAACATCAAAAACCTCTAGCCACTACCAGAGTGCTTCTAGCAGCTATAAAAATAGCAATGAAAACATAATCCTTGCCATTAAAAGGTTACAACCCAAAAGACACAAGGACAGAAAAGGATCATAATACACAAAGTTATCTGAAGAAAAACATTTTTTAATTTTGTGAGAGAGGAAAGTGAAGAAAAATTGCGAGGAATACATTTCCTGCTGCAAATGCTTCAGAGATATTTTAATAAACTATTCCTTAGCTCTAGCTATTGTGATATTTTGAAGTTCAGTCAAAAATGTGAAAGGTAAGGGTCATAGGCTATACCTCAATACTTTGTGCTCCTCACAGAGCCATAAAATGGTTGAGAAACATCAGAAAGTTTCTGTAGCTTGACCTTAGAATAATGCTTTCCAATTTCCCCTTAGCAAGTGCTGGGAGGAGCTGAGGAGGACTGAACATGTGCAAGCTGCTGTGCTCCTTCCCTGCTAATGGCACCACGGTGCTGCTCTCACATCTGACTGAGAAAGTCTTCCTGGCAGAACTTGGAGAACAACCAGAAATCTGATGGCCAGGGAAGCAATCTGAAGGGTGTTGTTACTAAATTGGACTTTCAGTGTTTATTTGCCCTGCAATCTCGAGAGCTCTTTACTAATAGCACTTGAATGAAGCAGACTTGCTTGGGCAGGGTTCTGTCAGTTTTGATCAACCTGCAGTCCTTGAGCCACTCTAAGCAGGAGTCTCTTCCTGTCAGTTCTCAGTGAAGCCATAGATAATTAGCCTAAGACATGTTATCACTGAGGGCTGAACCCTAAGGTTACCTATTGAAGGTTGCATATTAAAAGGTTATTTTACTGAATCAACTGAAGAAATAATTACAGCTTAGTTCAATGACATAGTTAGCATTTTATTATTTTTTAGTAATTGAAATTTTCTTTAGTTTCAAATACCTGCTATTTAAATAGAAATTAGAGGTGTGAGGGACTTTCTTAAGCTCAAAGATATACGTGGTTTATAAAGTTTGTACATAGTCCAGTCCCCAGAAATGGACAAGAATGTATATCAGGCCTAAGTGGCCTGAAAGAAAATTGAGCCATATTTTTTCCTCATCTTAGTCATTTATGACACAGATAAAATGCCATGTGCTCTAAGAGGTGTGGAAGCTTTAAACTGCTTCATGAAAAGGCCCCAAGGCTTTACCTTTTGTGACACTGAAGCTGCCTGTAAGCTTGAGGCAGAAAGCAGCTACTTGCAGTGGTCAGGAATTGTCTCAATGGTCAGAAAGTGAACTGTGCTTACCTGTCATAATCCATCACTGCAATGGAGAGGCTGACTTGGTCCACGTTCTCTGGAGGGATATCAAAGATGATGGCCTCATTATAAACAGGATTCAGCGTGTTCTTCTTTGTGGTTGTTTTCCGCTTTTTCAGCCTCCGTCCCTCGCACATCAGTGACACTTTGACGTACGGATCTGAGTAACAGATAATCAGTGCATGCATTAGGACTCAAACCATTCAAGTGGGTAGCATGAGAACAATATTTGTGGTAGGAATGTTATATTGCTAAGGTAAAAGGTTGCAAAGGTTTGAGTCACCCTGGCAAACACTGCTTTCATCATGCTGCAAATGCCATTCCCAACAGTCACACTGGCTGCCACTCCATCTGAAGAAGGTCTGTATCCATTCTTGGCTACTTCCATCCCACAGCCATGTCAGATACACAAAATCCAAGGAGCTGTTATTCATCCCCTTCCTGAATAGACTCTGCCTTGTTTAAAAAAGTAGATTCACCTGATGCACCAGTTATATCCATTGCTTTGAGATTCCGACATTTGATGACTGTCAAAGTCATTCTTCCAGCAGTAGGCAAATAACAAAGGGAAAACATGATCTCACCCAAATCTATGCTTTCCTGAAAAAGAAAAGCAATTATTAGAAACCTGATCATACTACTAAAATTCAGTTCAGATCATGCAAAACTTTAATGTTTTTTTAATATAGAGAGAAGCTTCTTTTGCAGCCTCAGATGCTTCTGAAGTCATAAGCAATTTTCAAAAATAATTTCCTTAAAGTACAGGAGGAGTAACAACAAAATAATAGTTTAAAGACAAGATTTTCAGTTACTAAACTGAGAAATTAAAACAAAATCAGAGACAAACTTTCTGAATGTCTGGTATTTTTGTGTTGAATTCACACAAAAGAAAAGGTGCTGAAAGTAGAATGCCAAGTTCTGCTCTTGAAAACACTAATACTCCATCAGCCCCAATAGAAAGAAATCTGATGGACTGTTTAGATCATGCACATTTACATGCCCTTTAGACACTGGAATTTATGTAGGAAAATAATTTCTGCACAGGTATGTGTACAAAAAGCTAATCCTGTCAAAGTGTTTCAAAAAGAAGAATATGTTTGTAAAAGTTTCTCTCTTTAGTGCTCTCAATGTGCTTTGAGAGGCTGTTCTGTTTCAGAAGAAAAGCGAAGTAAAGGAGTAGCACCGACAGCTTTCCTGGCTCCACAACAACTTTTTGGAGGATAATATACTCAGAAGGATGGATAGGTTCCATATGAGTTTTAATAATCCTCACAAGAGACAGGTTCTATATTGAGGCCATGTGCTAAGTACTCATGCAATAAGATGTTGTCATGCAGTTTAGATGCTACAGTACTTGAGATGTGTAACCTAAGGGAGTTTCTACAAGTTCTTATTTTTTCCTTTTCTCAGTTATACAGTTATCCTAACACTGCAAAAGTTAAGGTTTTGAGATGTTTATTATGTTCTAAATTGTTCCTGTTCTGAATTTTAAATACACCTTTGCCACCTTCCCATCCCCCAAAAAATTGCATATCAAAAACTTAGGATATGATTTTGGAAGGGGCATGTAAGGAAGCCACTCTGTAAGGCAGCCACTCTCAAACATGCTCATGTGATCTCAAAGGACCTTTTTTTGGACTAATCCTAAAAAGCTTATTTTTAACATCTCAGCTTCAATATTTTATCTGTCAAACCTACAGTTACTCTGAGAGTAAAAATTTGTTTGAGAGCTGCTGGATTTACTGTAGAGTTATTCTAGTATCAAAAGGCAAGTATACTATATTTTTAAATGAAACATATTAAAATAGTGATTGCTGTGTAGGTGAGAAATATATTGTTTACAGATATAAGACAAGACTAGGCTTCTTGTTCACATTCTTCAGCTGTTGTCAACAGTTTTATTGACTTCCTTCAGGTTAATACTCTGTCTAAATAGAAACAAGTATTTGACATCTTTCTTGAGTAAAGATGAACTAAATTGCATGCTTTGGGGTGTGAGGTTTTTTGTATTTTGTTTTTTTATTGGTTTTTTTCCCCTTCACTGCAGTCTAGAATGAAGAATACAGTTTTGGAATAGCTTTAAAGTCTCTGTTGCAGTGGTAATAAAATATTGACTTTTGTGCAAGCCAGTCAATTCAGGAGTTCAGTCATTTTGCTGGGATTTTGACAATTACTAGTTTGATAAGCATGTGAACATGAACTGTGGGCAAATTTCACTCTTGTCAGAATTTCAGATTTCTCAGAATTTCAGAATGATTGAGCTCATTCAGTTCACACAGGACAAATTAAACTATTTGACCTCTCCCTTTCTTTACCATGAAGAGTGCAGAAATTTGTACCAGAGACTAAATTACCAAACCAAATTTTCTATTTCAGAAAACAAATAAAACTTTAACAACTGAATGGTAATTCTTTCCACTCATTTGTTACAGTGGCAAGTGGTGTCTCATATCTTTCAGTTCTGCTATATCTGAACATTGTTTGAAGCAGAGCTTCTCCTACTGGTGTTACTCTCTGAATCTGATGGCTGTTTCTCATATCCCTATATCAAACAGACCTTACTCTTTTGTTTGAAAAGAAAATAGAGTTCCCAGAGTTTCAGTGCTTCAAAGTTACCTAAGATCTGTGTAGAGAAAGGTGATGAAAATGGGTTGGATCATGAAACACCTTGGATAGCTCATAGAAAGATCTAATTTTTCTTTTTCAGAGAGATGGCTTGAGTATGTGAATAGAGAAAAAATAATTTTTGAAGATGGGAGTATGAATCTGAGTGTTCTATTATTTCCTTTTGAAGAGAAATTGGGTAGACACTCAAAGTTTTGTGTGAGCCCAGCTGGTAAAGCAGAATACAGACAGGATTACGTACTAGTATTTTAAAATGCTTCAAAGGAAGCATTGCTCAAAATGCTTGCCAAACTCACTCTGTTGTTACTCTACATTTTTGAGAGGCAGAGAAAAGCAGTTTCTGCTCTGAGTATCTGCCAAGACTGGTGATCTTTCTTCATACAGGAGTGTGAATGTGTGAAGTTCTAAATGTTATTTTGAAGAATTAAGATTAAAATTATACCTATGATACTATGATACTATGATAGTATAACAAACTGTGTATTACAAAAAATGTCTGAGATATCTCCATTTTCATACACACACATACACACACACACACACACACACACACACACACACAAACTTATTGTTAATCTGAGCACTAGAGATTCATAAATTTGGAGATGAAAACACAGATTCAGACCTCGATTATAAACATAGCAACCTTTTTTGTTTTTTTTTTATTTTTTTAAACTTCTCATTATAGTCTTTGTTAATCACATTGATTATCATGAGTAACATTTCTAAATTCCCTGGATCCTTAAACATTATCAATTTTAGTTGAGAGTTAAGTATAGCTTACAATTTAATTTAGAATCTCAGCACTATGGAAAATTCATGTGTTTTTTCACTTTATAATTAACTAGATAATTAAGTTGACACAAGTAGTCTGACTGGAGCCCTTCAGCACAAGCAAACCTGAAGGAGCCAAGGCACAGACTGTCCTCAACAATCAAATCTGCATCACAGTGTGCCTCAAACAAAACACAACTCACAAGACACAATCAAGTGGATATCATCTGTGCATATTTTAAAATAATCCTCAGATTGCCTTACATGTATCACAAATTTTCCGAAAATTGTACATGACTTAGATAACTCCCATGGCACTTAATCTCTTTCATAGAGTTATTTTGAATTTTTCTTTTTTTTTCTTGAACTAAATTTGGGTTTCAATTAACAGCTAGCTTTATGGATTCTTGTAATGATTGCCTCCCACTGGTTTCCAATAACAGGTACAGAAAAACCAGCATCAAGCACAGCTGCCCTTATGCAAATGGAAGCTTTTGTTGACACCTCATATCTCTCCTTCACTTATTTCCCTTCTGTATCCACCAGCCACCACACAGCACTGAAGACCTGACAGAGTGGCCAGCACTCTGCCAGCTTCAGTTACTTCCATAGCTGCCCTTTTACTTCTGCCCCATCCATTTTCTGGCACAGTGGGTCTAGAACAAAATAAAACAAAGAAAAAAATGGTCTCATGTGCATGCACATATCAGTTATTCTGATGAACTTTGTGGGTTTTGAGCTACAGAATGCAGATTTCTAAAATTAGCATAATTCTCATCCCACACTAGTAAGCACGTGAATGAATGTGCTAATAATATTTTTCCATTACTTCCATTAGGATGAATCCATTAGGTTCTCTCCACATTCTCTGCTTTGTGGGCTCCTGAGAAATAAGTCCAGGAGCTGGCACAGTCAGAAATAAAAAGTTCCTTATTCTATTCTCTTTGTTATCATACCCAATGGACACCAGTGCTCTCATTTCCACACATATGCCTGTAAAAATTGCAGCATTTCTACAGAGGCTTTGCTCCCCACTCACAATATGGATAAAAGGGAAGGAGTGAGAAGGGGAGCATCAATTAAACTGATTGAGGTTTTTGAACTGCTGTTGCTGGTAAAAGTTCTGCTGCCACTTACTCCAATTAATTTTCTCAGTAGTTTCCATAAAATTCAATAAAAGAGACAATTTTTTACTAGGAACCTCCACAAGTCCTGTGGGGAAGGTGGTTGTAGATCCTTCAATTTTCAGGGTGGTTTTTTACTCACATATCAACCCACACAAGCCTGAAACTGAACAGGAAAACTGTTTATTGCCTATACTGATAGTCTAATAACCTTCATAGTCTCCCTCCTCTGTGCCAACATCCTAACTGATTTCCTATGATAGCAGGGGTAAAAAGCTTATAGGGACCTGATATGTGAAAAAATGTGTCAGTTCTGAGTCACAAGTGAACTTTAGACAATTTTTTCACTGATGTTTATTTCTTCCTCTTTTCCACTAGTTTTTCAAGTTTTGAAATTCAAGCAAAATCTTAAAACAGCAACTTTGTCTGTATTCTTATAATGAACTATGTAAATATTACTGAAACTGGACAATTTACATTCTTTTGTTCTTATTAGTCTGTCATTAATTTCCATGGTTAAAATTACAAGTATCTGCATAATTAGTAGTGCAGCAGAAATTAGATTCCCTCAAAAATTTGCTTGTTGCTACTTTATTTATCATTCATATTATCATAATCCATAGTAACAAGTTCAGTTCTTAATCTCAATTTTAATATCTGGAACTACTTTCCTATTCATTGTAACCGGAACGATGTTTTAAAGACTGCATGTAAGAGTAGCACAACAAAAATACTAATGGTGCCATGAATCCCATTTGTACTTGATTTCTAACCAAATTAACTGCAAATTGCATTCTCAGCTTTCCTGCTATATTTTAAGCAAGTCACTGTAATAAATAATGATAGTCATTTTCTGGCTACCTAAGAAGGTATTCAGGCATTGCTTTTCTAGACTTTTAGCTGTTTTCTTTAGTAACACTGAAAATTGTTCTTCTGTACAGTATTTAAATTTAAAGAAAAATGTGTTGGTGAGTTAGACCTTTGGATTACTTGAATATTTCAGGAAGAGAATTCCCCCATAGCACATTTATCTTTCTCTGTTTAGAAACATATTATATATATTTCTGCTTT